GGCTTACAGCAAGGCTACCTCTGCATGGGCCGGCATGGGAGAAGAAAGGATCTCCCCTGCCGGCCTTGGTCCATGGCCATCGAGGCCCACTGGGCATTTTCTGCAGAACCCACCACCGCTCACCTGAAATCCCAAACCGCTAACAAGTGGGTGGTAGGAACAAGGTTGACGACCCCGGCTCTAGCAGGTTATTGACGACCCCGGCTCTAGCAGGTTATTGTGACTGTTTCTGGCTTTGGACTTTGCCTGCGTTTGGGGCATTTCTGGCTGAGCAGTCAAACAGGGCAATGGTTAGCCACAGATAGAAATCAGGCCATGAAATGGTTAACCGCAGACAGAGATCAGGCCATGAAATGGTTAACCATAGATAGAGATCAGGCCTTGAAATGGTTAACCACAGATAGAGATCAGGCCTTGAAATGGTTAACCACAGATAGAGTCCCGGCCATGAAATGGTTAATTATAGACACTAAACCGGCGGGGAGATGGTTACTCCTGCGTAAGTTAAACAGTTTATTTTTTATTTTATTTTTTTTAATTTTTTTGTTTTTGACATTGAACATTTTTTATTTTCCTTTTTGTTTCAACAATGTATCTTTGGGTACAGAAAAAAGAGAGAAGGGACGAGTATAACAGTTTCAGTACAGGGAAAATGATGTAGCAAGTCCAGGTAACAACATCCCGCATTGACCATAATATATGTCAACAATAACAAAGTAGTTTTGCGTGAAGTTACCTCATTGTTTGCGAGTCTGTTAATGCGACCATAGAAGTTTAGTGTGAACCCGTGGGCGTCTTTGTCCGTCGGTTTACGCCCTGAGTTAACTGATATTTATAGGTTATCAGAACAATATCTAGTAGGGCGGTGCGCCTCAGCGCCTTCGTGACATACACCTAAAGTTTAGTTACCTCGGGTGCAAACAAACACTGCCCCCCACCATACACACACAGACTGCCTCTTCACACACACGATAACTCTCAAACACACACAGTACCCCCTCATAAAATTAGTTACTGCGGTGGTGGGCGGTAAGGAAATTTTACTATCAACAAAGATGCAAAAGAGGGGGTAGGTATTGAAAGACTGACTACCCCTGTGCTAGAACCTAGATGTGTGCGTGGGAGTGTGGCCAGGGTTGATCTGAGTAGGGGTGTGGCCATAGGGAGGGCCAATCTGGGTGGGGGTGTGGCCAACGGCAAGGCTGCTCTGACTTACTAATAACAATTTATCCAACTAAACTGTAATTTATAAGAAGAAAAATTTTGCTTATTTACAGACTGATTTCCAAACACATTTATTGTAGTTTAAATTCACATTACTGGGAGTATTATTACTGTGGAGCTCTGTTATACACTGACACATTACTGGGAGTATTATTGCTGTGGGGCTCTGTTATACACTCAGACACATTACTGGGAGTATTATTGCTGTGGAGCTCTGTTATACACTCAGACACATTACTGGGAGTATTATTGCTGTGGAGCTCTGTTATACACTCAGACACATACTGGGAGTATTATTGCTGTGGAGCTCTGTTATACACTCAGACACATTACTGGGAGTATTATTACTGTGTATCTCTGTTATACACCCAGACACATTACTGGGAGTATTATTGCTGTGGAGCTCTGTTATACACTCAGACACATACTGGGAGTATTATTGCTGTGGAGCTCTGTTATACACTCAGACACATTACTGGAGTATTATTGCTGTGGAGCTCAGTTATACACTCAGACACATTACTGGGAGTATTATTGCTGTGGAGCTCTGTTATACACTCAGACACATTACTGGGAGTATTATTGCTGTGGAGCCCTGTTATACACTCAGACACATTACTGGGAGTATTATTGCTGTGGAGCTCTGTTATACACTCAGACACATTACTGGGAGTATTATTGCTGTGGAGCTCTGTTATACACTCAGACAGATTACTGGGAGTATTATTGCTGTGGAGCTCTGTTATACACTCAGACACATTACTGGGAGTATTATTGCTGTGGAGCTCTGTTATACACTCAGACACATTACTGGGAGTATTATTCTGTTGAGCTCTGTTATACACTCAGACACATTACTGGGAGTATTATTGCTGTGAGCTCGGTTATACACTCAGACACATTAGTGGGAATATTATCACTGTGGAGATCTGTTATACACTCAGACACATTACTGGGAGTATTATTGCTGTGGAGCTCGGTTATACCCTCAGACACATTACTGGGAGTATTATTACTGTTATCTCTGTTATACACCCAGACACATTACTGGGAGTATTATTGCTGTGGAGCTCTGTTATACACTCAGACACATTACTGGGAGTATTATTGCTGTGGAGCTCTGTTATACACTCAGACACATTACTGGGAGTATTATTGCTGTGGAGCTCTGTTATACACTCAGACACATTACTGGGAGTATTATTGCTGTGGAGCTCTGTTATACACTCAGACACATTACTGGGAGTATTATTGCTGTGGAGCTCTGTTATACACTCAGACACATTACTGGGAGTATTATTGCTGTGGAGCTCAGTTATACACTCAGACACATTACTGGGAGTATTATTGCTGTGGAGCTCTGTTATACACTCAGACAGATTACTGGGAGTATTATTGCTGTGGAGCTCTGTTATACACTCAGACACATTACTGGGAGTATTATTGCTGTGGAGCTCGGTTATACCCTCAGACACATTACTGGGAGTACTATTACTGTTTATCTCTGTTATACACTCAGACACATTACTGGGAGTATTATTGCTGTCGAGCTCGGTTATACACTCAGACACATTAGTGGGAATATTATCACTGTGGAGATCTGTTATACACTCAGACACATTACTGGGAGTATTATTGCTGTGGAGCTCGGTTATACCCTCAGACACATTACTGGGAGTATTATTACTGTGTATCTCTGTTATACACCCAGACACATTACTGGGAGTATTATTGCTGTGGAGCTCTGTTATACACTCAGACACATTACTGGGAGTATTATTGCTGTGGAGCTCTGTTATACACTCAGACACATTACTGGGAGTATTATTGCTGTGGAGCTCTGTTATACACTCAGACACATTACTGGGAGTATTATTGCTGTGGAGCTCTGTTATACACTCAGACACATTACTGGGAGTATTATTGCTGTGAGCTCTGTTATACACTCAGACACATTACTGGGAGTATTATTGCTGTGGAGCTCTGTTATACACACAGACACATTACTGGGAGTATTATTGCTGTGGAGCTGTGTTATACGCTCAGACACATTACTCGGAGTATTATTGCAGTGGGGCTCTGTTATACATTCAGACACATTACTGGGAGTATTATTGCTGTGGAGCTCTGTTATACACTCAGACACATACTGGGAGTATTATTGCTGTGGAGCTCTGTTATACACTCAGACACATTACTGGGAGTATTATTGCTGTGGAGCTCTGTTATACACTCAGACAGATTACTGGGAGTATTATTGCTGTGGAGCTCTGTTATACACTCAGACACATTACTGGGAGTGTTATTAGACACATTACTGGGAGTATTATTGCTGTGGAGCTCTGTTATACACACAGACACATTACTGGGAGTATTATTGCTGTGGAGCTGTGTTATACGCTCAGACACATTACTCGGAGTATTATTGCAGTGGGGCTCTGTTATACATTCAGACACATTACTGTGAGTATTATTGCTGTGGAGCTCAGTTATACCCTCAGACAGATTACTGAGAGTATTATTACTGTGTATCTCTGTTATACACTCAGACACATTACTGGGAGTATTATTACTGTGTATCTCTGTTATACACTCAGACACATTACTGGGAGTATTATTGCTGTCGAGCTCGGTTATACACTCAGACACAACAACAATATAGAGCTCCTGGAAAACATTAGGAGAGAAAAGAGGGACAGAGTGATTTTGGCCCAAAATAGGGACTGTTCTTCCTAAATAGGGACACTTGGGAGGGACGAGTATTTGTTTACATTAATGCAGGAAAATGACACATTATATAGCTTTGTATTACAGATATGTTGGAGTATAGGCATCATCTACAGGAAATACTCGAAAAATAAGAATATCGTGCAAACGTTTATTTATTTCAGTAATGCAACGTAAAAGGGGAAACTAATATATGAGATAGACGCATTACATGCAAAGCAAGATAGTTCAAGCCGTGATTTGTCATAAGTGCGATGATTATGTCTTACAGCTCATGAAAACCCCAAATCCACAATCTCAGTAAATTAGAATATTGTGAAAAGGTGCAATATTCTTGGCTCACCGTGTCCCACTCTAATCAGCTAAGTAAGCCATAACCTGCAAAGGGTTTCTGAGCCTTTAAATGGTCTCTCAGTCTGGTTCAGTAGGAATCACAATCATGGGGAAGACTGCTGACCTGACAGTTGTGCAGAAAACCATCATTGACCTCCTCCATTAGGAGGGAAAGCCTCAAAAGGTAATTGCGAAGGAAGTTGGATGTTCCCAAAGTGCTGTATCAAAGCACATTAACTGTCAATCTGTTTTTTTTATTGAGGCATAAAAAAGGGGTACAGAATAGAGAGAAGGAAATGTGCGTTCAGAGTACAATATAGGGTTCAGTAACAGTGGTAGGTAACATTTCTATAACATTTGTGCCTTTTTTTAAAAAATTTTTTTTTTTGTTTGTGGTTCAACGATGCTTTACGTAGACAGATTTAGGAAATATGCAATACAACTTGTACATATTCAGGCCAACTAGTTGTGCAGGCTAGGATACTAAGACATGCTTGTAAACTGAGTGAGTAGTTGATCGGCTATGTATGTGTTGAGCTCTAAATTCCTAGTACAACAAGCTAGGTTGTCCTGAAACAGGTCTGAGGCATGTATGTATTACAATAGTGGGTTTAATGGAGTAAGACACGCATACATATACACAACTATCTATATATATATATATATATATATATACAGGATGATAAGTGAGCCAAACTGGTATTTTAACTAGTGAGTTATACATGCTGCCACTGTCCCTGGCCCCCACCCTGCTGAGCTGTACCGGCTGGCTTGATATCTGAAAGAACAAGTGTGTCCATCGTGCTGCTGCCAGGCCCGCCAGTTGGAAAGTCTTTCGGGAACCGTGCTGGGCTGAGACGTGAAACTACAGTATAGCTTGCAAAGGTGTGTCCAAGTTGGCAAGCCTCTTGGCTGGTCAGGTGGCAGTGCATTGTCCACAAGTGATCTTAGACGAGGGGTTGTGCATTCCGTCCGGTAGCAAGCTGTTACATCATCCCCTTCTTGTCTGTCCGCCTGTGGGACATGGGGAGTGTAGGTCCCAGGCCTATTCCTCAGCCTATTCCTCTGCTGGGTTTCTGTGTGGTAGGTACTTGGGGGTTGCAGCTTGTCGGCAGGAGTCGCAGTTGGCAGGCGGTCCCTCCCCAGCTCCAGGCTCCATGCAGGGTCAGCATCCGTAGGCCATTGACTCAAGGTCTCTGTGAGGCCGGGTCATTCCCATATTGGGCGCTGCGGTAATGCCTGGTGATCTTCCGACGTCGTGGTCGATGCCTTGGAGAGAGTTCCCTCGTGACCCCAGACCTGGAAGGGCTCTTCTTGTGTTGAGTGCTGGTTTGGTGCAACATTTCGCCCAGGATGGGCCCGCTTCGCCCCGTGATCTCACGTGTATCGATGGGGGGCGTTGGGCAGTTCTGCACTCTATTTGTTCCCAGAAGCGGTGGAATAGAACATCTAGCCGCTCGTGCAGGGTCTGCGCGGGCCTTTGAGTGGGAGCATGATCAGCCACGGCCATCTTGCACGTGGGGCTCAGGTTGCAGGAGGGCAAGTAGATCTGCCGCAGATTGTGAGCTGGTTGGGTGCGGACCGGAATGACCCCTGCCGGTCCAGAGGGGGGGGGGGGAAGCAGACTTTGGTTGATAGCCACTGAGTTTGGAGGCGGCGGGCGAGTGGCTGTCTCCCCCGCGCTGTTCGCGTGTGTAGGCCACATGTTGGAGCCGAGCAGGAACGGATGAGAAATCCACGTGTTTGGTGTCTAATGGTAGGTTTCAAGTTTCTCCGTCGTTTGGCAGCCTGTGTGTGTCCAGATGCCGCATGTATCCGTGGAAATTTCGCTCAGTAAGTAGCTTGTTGCAGGAGCTCTTGCTACCTGCGTCCACCTGGCTCGGCAGTCAGGCCCCGCCCCACTCAAAGCACATTAATAGAAAGTTATGTGGAAGAAAAAGGTGCACAAGCAGCAGGGATGACCGCAGCCTGGAGAGGATTGTCAGGAAAAGGCCATTCAAATGTGTTGGGGACTTTCACAAGGAGTGGACTGAGGCTGGAGTCAGTGCATCAAGAGCCACCACACACAGACGGATCCTGGACATGGGCTTCAGATGTTGTATTCCTCTTGTCAAGCCACTACTGAACAACAAACAACGTTAAAAGCGTCTTACCTGGGCTAAAGAAAAACAGACCTGGTCTGTTGCACAGTGGTCCAAAGTCCTCTTTTCTAATGAGAGCAACTTTTGCATCTCATTTAGAAACCAAGGACCCAGAGTCTGGAGGAAGAATGAGAGGCACACACTAAAAGATGCTTGAAGTCCAGTGTGAAGTTTCCACAGTCTGTGTTGATTTGGGGAGCCATGTCATCTGCTGGTGTTGGTCCACTGTGCTTCATTAAGTCCAGGGTCAACGCAGCCTCCTACCAGGAGATTTTTGGAGCACTTCATGCTTCCTTTCGCAGATGAGCTTTATGGGGATGCTTACTTCATTTTCCTGCCCACACTGCCAAAAGCACCAAAGCCTGGTTCAATGACCGTGGGATTACTGTGCTTGATTGGCCAGCACACTCGCCTGACCTGAACCCCATAGAGAATCTATGGGGCATTGCCAAGAGAAAGATGAGACCGAACAATGCAGAATAGCTGAAGGGCACTATTGAAGCATCCTGGTCTCCCATAACACCTCAACAGTGCCACAGGCTGATAGCTTTGATGCCACGCCACATTGAGGCAGTAATTGCTGCAAAAGGGGCCCAAACCAAGTACTGAGTCCATATGCATGCTTATACTTTTCAGTGGTCCAATATTGTTCTATGTACACTCCTTGTTTTATTGATTGCATGTAATATTCTAATTTACTGGGATTGTGGATTTGGGGTTTTCATGAGCTGTAAGCCATAATCATCGCACTTATGACAAATCACGCTTGAACTATCTTGCTTTGCATGTAATGCATCTATCTCATATTAGTTTCCCCTTTTACGTTGCATTACTGAAATAAATGAACTTTTGCACGATATTCTAATTTTTAGAGTATCACCTGTAAATGTCCGCACATTAATGAGATATCAGTGACTGTAAAATGATGTGGCCTGTATTTTCATGAAAGTAACTCAAAGTATTTTCTTTAGTGAACTTTTCATTCCTTAAACATTAAACCCTAGAAACTACATCTCCATTTCTGATTCTCACCTGTGGCTTCCACCATTCCTTCCAAAATCACCACTATTTCAAACTCCTCTTTTCCCAGCTGGTCTTTGGACATTTCCCAAAATGGGCTTTGCTCGTTGAACTCATGGCAGATAATAAGGGGTGAAACCAGGAACAAACGATCATCTCCAGTGTCAAACCCCACATTGATATCGGTCTGGTTGAGAGGGATGAATTCTCCCTCCTTGGTTTGCTTGGACTTTATCAGTTTAGCTCTGATCGATGCTTCTACAATATGTGAATTTCGCAGATCACCCACTCGGAACATGAGACACAGCTTTCCGTCCCTCACTGAGATCACAGCCATGTTGGAAAACATCAGGGTCTCTGCCCTTTTCTTTGGCTGGGAGATCTTTACAAACATGCAGCCCACCATGAAAGCATTGACTATGGACCCAAGAATGGCCTGGACTAGCAGTAAAACAATTCCCTCTGGACACTTGTCTGTGATCACCCTATATCCATAACCAATGGTAGTTTCGGTTTCAATGGAGAAGAGGAAAGCAGATACAAATCCATTTAACTTGTCAACGCAGGGTGTCCAGCTGTTATCCTCAATATGGTCAAGATCACCACGGATGTAGGCAATGAGCCACCATATGAATCCAAAGAAAATCCAAGTGATTGTGTAGACCATTGTGAAAACCAACAAGTTAAACCTCCACTTGAGGTCCACCAAAGTGGTAAAGATGTCTGTAAGGTATCTGTATGTCTCACGAACATTGCCATGGTGCACATTACACTTGCCATCCTTCTCAACGTACCTCTGCCTTCGTCTTTTCTCTGGCTCAGCGACCACCATGGTACGGTTGGTGACTACCACTTGATTTTTCTGCACCTGCTTTGGCATCTTACTAACTCTGTTCTCAATGTCCTGGTTCATAAATTTGCAAGAACTCATCTTTGCTTTGTTGTGCAGGGAGAGGTTCAACTTCCTATCTGTGGAGAGATGAGCATTAGTAGCAGATCTCATCAACTGAATAGTATTTAAAAATCACCAGACTCTGCTGTTACTCATTATGTAAGCAGACAACCTCACTGAAATATAAGAAAATAGCATCACTCACCCGATTTCCATAGTGAGGAACTTGCAGAGGTTTTTTCATTTATTTTAATTCACAAAATATACTGTATACCTACTGTACCTTCCTCTACTCTAATGTAACCTGTTAAGTACTGAGTACACCTGTTAGCGCTATATAAATAAAATATACACACTGTATACCTACTGTACCTCCCTCTACTGTAATCAGGACCAAATTAAGAGCCTGGTGCTGACAATTCTGATGGGCCTAATTACAAAATCTTATTGACCAAAAACACTAAGAGTCCTACCTCCTAAGCGTCATGTATCTGATGGAGATGGTGCTGTAGGGAAACTCATAGGATGCAGCTATGAGAAAACACATACCCTATGCTAATCTCACGCTTTCAAGTAAACCCATACCCTCTAACAGCAGTGTCCAGTAACTCAGGAAGTCTATGGATGGGGTAAAAGGGTGGGCCACTGACACTAATCACAACCAGAAGTCCGGAAATGAACAAACATACACAAAAATGGGGCATTTCTGTGTCCCCATGTCTCCCAGTGTCACTAGGGGACATTGAGACATTGGGACACTGGGAGACCTGGGGACACTGAGACTCTTGGGGACACTGGGTGACTTTGAGACATGAGGGCACACTGTGAGACATGATGCACTGCTACAATGTGATACATAGGGGACACTGGAGACTTGATAAAGACCTGGGTACCGGTCAAAACGTTGTGGTGTTCAATAAACCTGCTTAAATCTATCACAGTGAGTGCCTGAGTTTTATTTTTATTTTTAATACTTGGGGGCACTGTGAAACATGGGGACACTTGGAGACTAGGGGATTCTGAGAGACTAGGGAACACTGAGACATTATGGACACTGAGATACACCAGGGACACTGGGAGAGATGGGGCACTGAGACACTCTGATATATAGGGGACACTGTGATGCATATTGGACCCTAGAGACTTGATACAGGTCAAAACGTTGCAATGTCCACTAAACCTGCTTAAATCGATCACAGTGAGTGCCTGATATTTTTTTTTCTTTTATACTAGGGGACACTGGGAGACTAGGGGACTTTGGGAGACTAGGAAACACTGAGACACTAGGGACACTGGCACACTACGGACATTGAGACACTGGGAGATATGGGAATACTGAGATACTAGGGACACTTCCTGGGAGACATGGGGACACTGGGAGTGCCCCATGTCTCAAAGTCGCCCAGTGTCTTCATCTCTCCCTGCATCCCATGTCTCCCAGTGTCTCTTAGAGTCCGTGTCCTCATGTCTCCCAGTGTCCCGATGTCACTAGGACACTAGGGGACACTGTGAGACATGGGGACACTGAGAGACTAGGGGACTCTGGGAGACTAGAGACATGGAGCCCACCATGAAAGCATTGACTATGGACCCAAGAATGGCCTGGACTAGCAGTAAAACAATTCCCTCTGGACACTTGTCTGTGATCACCCTATATCCATAACCAATGGTAGTTTCGGTTTCAATGGAGAAGAGGAAAGCAGATACAAATCCATTTAACTTGTCAACTGGCTGGGAGACACGGGGACAATGAGAGACTAGGGGCCACTGGGAGACATGGGGCCACTGTGTCCCTAGTGTCTCAGGGTCCCTATGTCTCCCAGTGTCCCAATGTCTCAGCGTCCCCAACTCTCTCACCATCCCCATGTCTCGCAGGCTCGGAGCTGCTATCTGGCCTCTCTGTGCAGAGCTGCTCCCCCACGGATCAGTGAGTAGAGAGAGGCAAGGAGGGAGATGCTGTAACTTCTTATTTCTGCCTCTCTCCACACAAACAGCAACCCCCTACTTGCCGGCGCTGGTATTGCAAAATAATCTGTTTATACTGTTTATTACTGCAATACCGGCTAGGCAGCCTCAAATACCTGAGAAATACTTCTGAGAAATACCTGGCTACCCTAAGAGTAGTGAGTTAAAAAAAAATATATATTTTTTTTTTAATCAATGGGCCTGGGCCTGGAGCTGCAGCTCCATCAGCCCCTATGTTAATCCGGCCCTGACTGTAATGTAATGTAACCTGTATAGTGCTGAGTACACCTGTTAGTACAATATAAAAAAATATACACACATTGTATACCTACTACACTTACTGTATCTCCCTCTACTGTAATGTATCTCCCTCTACTGTAATGTAACCAGGAAAGTGGTACATAATGCTTCTCCAACCACCTATCCTTACTAATACAGAAGTATGTCCTGTCTAGGCCCCTACGCTCTGCCGAAGACCTGCGTATATCCTCTGTCTGTACTCCCACATCTGATGCTTGCCTCCAAGACTTATCCAGGGCTGCACCATTTCTGTGGATCTCCCTTCCCCCTCTGTTAGACTTTCCCCCAGTCTCCACTCATTCAAAAAATCTTTGGAAACACACTTCTTCAGGAACGTGGATCAATTAAACTATTAGCAGGTTTCCACCCTCCCCTACCCCCCACCCAACTCCTCTCCTGCAAGTACCAAAAATTATCTACTAAATTCTCAGTAAATACTTTTCTAGCAACCTATTTTCATTACCCCTACTTATACTATTTGTGTCACTATACCCCACTCCCTCTAGCATGTAAACTCACCGAGCAGGCCCTCAATCCCTCTGTTACTGTGTCACTATACCCCATGTAGCGGAGAGGTAGTATAATCCACAGTCCCTCCTGGTATCCTGGAACTCATCTGCCAGCTTGGCTGGCTCTTGAAGCGTGCGTGGTTTTCTGTCCCTTACCCAATTTTGTAGAGGGGTGGGGGGAGAGAGGGTATCCCATCGAAGAACTGCTCCATAACCATTAGCTGGAACAGGTACTCCAGAGTGTTAACTTGGGTGGCTTCCAACCACCCTTTTACGGCTCGCTGCAGGCGGTGTGCCCACTCTATGTGGGTGTCTTTGTTCAGTTTCGTAGTACGTTTCAATGTTGCATAATTCGACTCCATTCACCAGTTGTTTGTATATTTTGACATATTTACCGAACACTGGTTTTATCCGAATGGTTTGTTCCGTCGAACTGCTGCTTCTCTTCTTTATTCGTGTGATTACTGCCGAACGCTGGTTTGCTGTGTGTTTGAAATCCCGTAGCTTGCCATCAATTGTAGCGGAGAGGTAGTATAATCCACAGTATCTCCGCTGGTAGATCGGAACAGCATAGAATAATCCAGGTATAACAAGTACAGCATACAATAATCCTGGTAGCGTTCAATAAATCCTTCCTTCCTAAGAACTAGACGACACATAGGCTAGGAGTCAACTGAGGTTTTAATCACAGGTCACAGTATTTATGTGGTTCCCCATGCAAGGGGTTTCCCTACTGACTTTACAGGGGTTGTACAGTAGGGGACTACATGGGGGACTTGACAACCAAGACATTTCTCCCACCATGCACTGCTGTACGAGAGGGATACTCCCACTAAAATACCCAGTTTAGTGGATTATCCCTCCGTGCAGCAGAACTGGCTTTTTACATAAAAATATATATAACTTTAACAGAATTTATGCTATTATACCGAATGACCGTTCGGCAGATAGCTGGGGTCTGAGTGCATACTTCATAAAGAACCGCTCAGATCCCAGCACAATTAGCCAAACGCCGCACGAAATACACTTAAACATAAATTTTTCAACAAAGGCACAACTAGACCAGCAGGGATAAAATACAGAAAGACCAGTGCTCCCGAACGGCCTGGAAGTCCAGCAGTATTCGTGCCGTCGAGTAGCCGATTTTAGTTCCAGGCACTTGACGACCAAGTACTGCTGGGCTAACAAAGGATCCAAGATGGCCGACCGCTGTGTGGTCGGTATCCGAACGGCGGCCACCCTGAACATCCATTAACTACCGAAAGATACAATGTTGCGTTACTTAATGGGAGCCACACGACCTCCTGTGTGTGGTCTCCCATTCGGTAGTTTGTTCGTTTCACGAACAGTGTCGAAATTCACTGTTCGTGAAACTACTGTATGAATGCTGGTGGCTTTCATGCTGCCAGCATACGAATGCTCTCGTTCGCATCAATTACAGACAAGTGAATATACTGCGTTCAGGTAGCCTTAAAGCTACAACATCACATTAATGGAAATCCAGTCTTAAGTGGCTAGTTTTGCCACAATGCTCCCCCAGAACCAAGCCGGCGTACACAGTCTGATCCCAACGGATTGGCTTGGGGCTGTCCGGAGGAGTACTCACAGATCACTTTTCAAGGTCTGTTTGTTAAGAGAAACCGCCGTTTAGTTAACCTTCCCCGTTCACAATATCAGTAACTCCGTTCGCGTAGACTGCAGTATACGAACCACCATCAGGGGAAGCGGTAATCTCCTGACCGGGATCCGTGAAAGGCTCCAAACTCCCGAACAGAAATCCACTAACCGCCGAAGAAGATATCCACCAAGCGGCTTTCGGTTCCAATAATCAGTCTCTAGGCATCAATAGTAAATCCCCCACCCCAAAAACGAGACAGAAGCTCCGCATTGAGGGTCAAACAGGATCTGGCTTTACTGTGGGATACCCGCCCGTATTTATGCAGGTCTCCCACTTGGTGGACACTCCCCTAGGGGACCAAATGGAAGACTGTAATGACAGATAGACATGGGGACATTTCAGACATACAGATGTAAACTTTTCCCACAATGCAATATGGTTTTCTCCCCTCTGCCCTGGAGATAATTGAGAAGTAATTCAATTATCTCCAGGACAAAGACAAATCGCCATCTTAAATAAAATGCCAGAAACGCACAAATATATAATTCTACAACTACCGAACATTTCACATTCGTATCACACATCCCCAGATAGCCTGGATCTGAGGGCATATTATTAGCAAATAGCACTCAGATCCCACACACATAGTTCAATCGCCATGGAGTCAAAGTTCTTACAGTCTTTCGGTATGCGATTGACTCCATGGGAAAGCACGAAGGCTTTTCGTGTGATTCCAAACTCCCAAACGGCTGGTGTTCGCATGCTTTCGTTGATGGAGTAGGGCGACCCGTTGTTTCAGCGGTGTTCGGCAGACAAAGTGTCCGTTTTTAAAATCGCCGCCTCGTGGTCGACATACGAACGACTGCCACTCTGAATTCGGTTTAATTGAGAAGTGTCTGCGGTTAACCACAATGTTCTAATTGGGATCAAGAGGTTAACCAGCAGCACACTTCTATCCTGGGTGGCCATCCGTTCGGTAGATTTGTTTGGTAAAAAAGAGTCATTCGTATGGCTGGGCTATAGAAACAGCCATTTTCACGAAGGAGGGCAGAAATAAATGAATCCACCACAATAGACAGACACTGTTTGTCTGGAAAACCCGTCAGCGTTGCCATTTTGCTTCCCAGGGCGGTAGTGGTTAGTAAAGTCAAAAGGCTGCAGCGCCAAACTCCAGCGCAGCAGCCTGGCATTGTCTCCTGACACCCTGTTCAGACACACCAACAGGTTATGATCTGTGTGTAATGTGAAGGGTTGTCCATACAAATATGGTTGCAGCTTTTTGAGGGGCCCACACCACAGCCAGGCATTCCTTTTTTGGTGGCGGCGTCGCTTACTTCTCTGGGTAAAAGTTTTCTGCTGAGGTAAGCCGCCGGGTGCTCGCCGCCATCTGCTCCGACTTGACTCAGTACTGCCCCCAATCCAAACATAGAAGCGTCTGTATGGACGAGAAAGCGTTTAGTTAGATCAGGAGCAGAAAGTATAGGTGATTGAATAAGCGCCGTCTTGAGCTGTTGGAATGCCTGTTCACACTCTGGGGCCCATACCACTATCTTAGGGAGATTCTTACGGGTTAAGTCAGTGTGGGGTTTTGCTAGGGTGTGTAGTTAGACACGAATTTGCGATAGTACCCTGCGGTACCTAGGAACGCAAGGACTTGCGTCTTGGTGCGGGGGTTGGCCACTTGGCGACTGCCTTTTATTTATTTATTATTTTTTTTTTGCAGGTTCTGGCTTCTGTTGACCGCTTCCTACCCTATGTCCTAGGTACTGAACCTCTGCCATCCCTATGTGGCACTTACTGGGTTTAAGGGTTAGTCCTAATCCGGTCTAGTACGGCTCCTGAGTGGGTCAGGTGTTCGGTCCAGGAGTTGCTGAAAATGGCTAGATAGGCGCAATCATACTCCTGGAACCCATCCAGTAGCTGATCCACCATCCTCTGAAAGGCAGCCGGGGCGTTTTTCATCCCGAATGGCATGACCTTAAACTGGTACAGGCCAAACGGGGTAACAAACGCTGACTTGGGGATGGCGTCCTCAGCTAGCGGGATTTGCCAGTACCCTTTACACAAATCTATTGAGGTGAGGTACTGGCCGTTTTGTCTAGGAGCTCGTCTATCCGGGGCATAGGGTAAGCGTTGGAGGTCGTTTAGTTGTTGAGCCTCTGGTAGTCTACACAGAAACGGGTCGTCCCATCCCGTTTCGGCACTAGCACTACCGGGGAGGCCCAGGGGCTGTCAGAATGCTCTATCACCCCTAACTGTAACATTTCTTCGATCTCCTTACGCATGTTCTCCTTTACGGATTCTGGTATGTGGTACGGAGGTTGACGAAGCTGGGTCTG